TGGAACCTCCCAAGCCTAATGAATATATTCGGGCCCTATGGTAATTTTGGTTTGTGTTCTTGCAATCAAAATCGCCATCTATACAGTAAGGAAATGTAACAATTGATGTCATTGTGACTGCAGAATTTCATTTCCGGCCATTGACTGACACTGTTTTAAATATCTGACGGTAGAGGTAGCAGGCTTTCAACTTTTACAACCGATGGTAACTGAGAATATGTACAGCTTTCGATTGGTTTCTGGTTTCTTGTTTACATCCCAGCAATTGGTATGTTGACAGTTGAGCGTGGAGAAGGGCGGTTGATGACTATGGTTTGATAAGCTAGGAGGGCAGTTTAATAAAGTTGGAACACAGATGCCAGGTGTTTATACACACCAACATAAAAATGTTTGGCGAGTGGGCCTTCTGTTACACACCCAAAAGCCTTGTTGCAAGTGGACTATCATGACAACTACACGATTTTGTTTCACCTGTTGAACAAAATTAAAAGATGCGTTTCTTTTCAACAGAAAGCGAAAGCCTTTATTAGTGAAAATATCCAGCATCGGGTGAGTGTCTGTGATTCTGTCAGCACACCGCAGCTGCAAATCTGAACCCTTCGTTATGCAGCAACACTACACGTACAGTAAGTCAGTGCTATGCGATGTAGAGAGTAAAGCACCCACGCATGAGAAGCACTGATGATGCTAATGGTATGAACCAATCAGCTGTGCCCTAAGTATGATGCCATAGCTCCGCCCATAAAATCGATGAAAGCATTTAATCAAGTGTATGTAATTAGCCTGAAGTGAAGAGGAAATAAATGTGTTACTGTTACTAATCTACATGTACAAATCCCAGGCTGGTGGATGTGTCAAACAAAATATATATGAGGGGTATATGAGCAAATTTCTTAGTGACACACTCCATTTTCTACTTGGCTGTACATTACCATTACTCAGAATTCACTGAGATCTCCCATCCAGAAGCTATCCATCTTAACTGTATTGGCGGTGGGTCTATAAGATGTAGCCAGTACTTGTTCCTGTTCAATGTGCATACATCTCTTCAATGTTTTTCCATGAACGAAGTACATGTATGTACTTTTTTGTAAATCATTCTTCATAACTTACCTAATTCACCAACCAGCAGGGTATGTTTGGTGTAATTCATGACAGCTCTAGCCACTGACATTGCACTCTTCACTCTGCGCAGACATCCCACTGAGCCGACATCATGGGTAACACTGTTAAAAAAGAAACATTACAGTAATCCAGTTTGGCCTTTAAAAAACCAGGGTCTTTAAAAAACAAAGCACATGCATGAGTCAGCATATGGATGCACTGATAGGACAGACCATTGTGTATGTATCTGTTCCCAATAGCCCTTTAATGAGTATGCGCTGTTGGAATATCGAACTGGCTCATTCCATTTACACATGGACAGACTTTTATATCATAACTGCCAACCTACAATACATTTGCAGTGTTTCCCTTAAACGTTTTTTGCTGTTGTTATCCGGACCAGTCCAATCATATTTTGAATGGTCTGTCACAATTGGGACTGGTCTGTGCCGCATGCACTTTTGTGTATTAAATTTAAACAATTACAACAGAAGATGAAAAGTTTGCATTAATCTCTCCATTCCATTGAGGATGTATTATGAATCGTGCTCATGAAAATCAGACACAATTACTCAACACAAAGTTTCATTAGAAATGGCTTCAAAAATCGAAAATCCTTTGGTGTCTCCCCTACCTCTATAGTAAACGTACAGTTCTTCATTTGTCATTTGTGTACTATGTTTCTTTATGGCAACAAAATTACTCAGAATCTAGAGAAGGATTTAAATTTTAATAATACACAAGTATATAGTTTTAATTCCAGATCGATAACCAATAGCATTTTATGTAAGTGATAGTTTAGCATATCCCCGGTCGAAGCGTAAACTGCGAGACAAAATTATAAATAAGCTAAACTAAGCAAGCCCCAGTCGAAGCGTAATCCGCGGACTGTAATTGGTTCACTTATCAAGTCCCCAGTCGAAGCATAAGTCGCGAGACAACAGTATAAGACAATTAAAACATGACCAGTCTCAGGTCGAAGCGTAAGCCGCAAGAGACAACAGAATACATTGTACATCAATGTAGCAACTAGTCCCTGGTCGAAGCGTAAGCCGTGTGTCATAACATCATTTAATGAAGCAAGTCCCGTCGCAACATAACATAGGGTCTAGCAGTAAGTACTAGCATATTCCCGGTCGAAGCATAATCCGCGGAATAGACACTGTTCACGTCACACCCGTACATACACATATACAGGCTACCCATTCCATCTGGTTATAAACTGCAAAGTAAACCATAAACAACAGACAGACTTCATATTAATTCCATGTACATGTATGTAAGAATTTGTTGATTGCATAGGTTTTATATAGCTATATTGATGCATAATCCTAAGGCCCATGATGGAGATAAGAATGAAATTCCGCCACACGGTCATTTATGACCGCCGCCAAATTGGCCGCATGATGATAGGTAAGTGACCTCGTGTGTGTAGGGGGTGATGGTGTTTGCACTGGCAATGTAACAGGAAATCAAGTTACTCCACAGGACTGAAGTAACGCCGTATGGTAGTTATAAATAAGGAATTCCGAAGCGGCATCCACAAGGTGCACCCCATCTGATAGATATATATCCTGCCGCCACCACTCAATTTGGAGGTGAGCAATCAACCTGCCCAGCACCCTGTGGAAAAGATTGCCCACCAAACGGTTAGGAGTTCACCTGGTGTGCTCAACCAAATTTTGTCTGTTAGCCGAGGGATAGGAAAACCATGGCAAAATCTCCGACCAGTAAATGATTGAGTGAGGTAATAACGCTCGGGTGACGGCAAGAATTTGTTTAATCCCCTCGAGCATTGATTTCTTGGGGACGTAGCCCAGATCATTGGAGCCAACGTGTAAAATGATCCATGTTGACGATGCTTGCTCTGCCATCCAGCAGCTGTGAAGGAAGTTGTTGAATTGGTCCAGCTGCAGGCCCCACCGACCCATACAATGAACAGTTGCCACTCCGTTAAGTGCCTCCCCCCAAGGAGAGGATAACGCCACACCGGAGGTCCAATGGATGAATGAGTCGCCAACCATCCAGACAAGGGGCTTGTTGTTGATCAGCGGATTTGCTCATAGAAGTAAAACAGAAATTAAATAGCTACCGGTATCAATACTTAAGGAAAAGTTAGCGTATGGTTGGAATCACAGTTGTTTTTGGTTTGGGGTAACATGACCCCAATGTACAAAGTAGCCACAAATTTGAAAGCAGTGTCATGGAAGAAACTCACTGCTAATACAAATATAGCGGCAGTAAACCCCTGACTGCTAACGACCTATCTGTTGGATCTCATCGTCAGGAATTCCCACCATTGCCGCTGCTGTGGCCGCACCAATCCGGAAAGGAATGAGAAGTATATCGGGTATCATGTATGCCAACGTAGCCAAGGACCCGCCTTAAAACAGCGGTAAATTGAGAACGTGTAACTGGAGAACCATCAAAATGGGATAGGAAATTGCTGAACTGCTTAGGACACATGCTTAGGAACTGTGTAGTGGCCTGAACAGGGCACAAGAAAATTCGCCCTCAGAAACAGCAGTTATTGAAACTAAACAACTCTGACCGTACTGGTTGGTCTTGGAGAAATGAATGTTTAGATTAACCACACTGCTAGAACAGGTATGACAAAGGGTAACATCAGAACAACGTAAAAGTGAAATTCCAGATCGAGTGGATGCGGTGAGTTCACCGACGCGCAGAAACCCAAAAAACGCTAACAGGAAAGCCGCTCGAAACAGTAGGGCTTCACACTGATTGGTACAAACGAAGTGCAAAGCAGGAATGATACGCCGCAGTGAAACAATCATAATAGGGCGGCATTGATCACGCCGATCGTACCGGCGGTGGCAACCCTCTAACATTCGTTTCACGATAAAATGTTTAGTTCTGTCATGGGAACCCTGCAAGCAGAGTGTAGACGCAATCCCTGAGACATAAGATGCAACAGTAGCTGGAGCGTACCCATTAACGGACAAAAATGCCCCCCTTTCACTGAAATGAGAATCGAGGTAAAACAGAGTTGATGGACTTGAACTTTGTAGTCTGTTTAATACCTTTATGGTATTGTTTGGAACAAATGTTTCCACTTTTTATTTTTATCATTTTTCCAACAGATTGCTGGTCCCGATACTGGGATTCTTTGTCCAATCCATCCCTCCTCAACTTAAACACCAACATCGTGCCTACATTACTGCTGTCCGCCAAATACTCGGCGACCTGGAACTGAAGGGAGTCCTGGGCGAACTCTCACCACAGCATCCCGGCCTTTCCAGCTGATCCCTTCCATCTTAGCCTCTACACAGCCCATCTGACTACATCTTCAGGAGCAAAAACCACAGTAGATTCATTGGGGGCAGCCGTAAAATGGGTACGCAGCCCAGCAGGCCTAGTTTCTCCAACTGAGAGTCCATTGTTCAAAACGGCTGCACTGGGCTATAATCGTACCCTTGCCAAACCCATTGGTCAAAAGGAACCGATTACCCTACAAATACTTCAAAATTTGCTCACCAAACACAGCAACCCCAACGCTTCTCTTGCGGATCTTCGTATACTTTTCATTTTGTTTTATTAGTTATGCTGGTTTTCTCGGGTTCGACGAGGTCAGTTCCATTACAGCATCCGACTGCACTTTCTCGAACGACAGTCTAGTAATTCATTTACCCTGGTCAAAAATGGATCAGTTCAGACAAGGCGCTTTCATCACAATTCCCAGAACCCACAAGCCTACCTGCCCAGTATCCATTGCTGAAAGGTATCTCACAGTTCTTGGGGACTCCAGCGATTCAAAACTACCTCTCATTCGCAGGCTAACTACTCCAAAGAGAGGCCTCGTTGCTACCTCTCACCCCCTCAGTTATACCAGAACACAAGAAATTGTATTGAATGCCCTCAAGCCTCTTGTAGAAGATATCTCTTGTTACGGACTTCACGGTCTTCGTTCTGGTGATGCCTCTGCAGCCAAAAACGCCCACGTAAATCCAGAATTAATCTCGAGGAACGGCAGATGGAAGAATGGGAGGGCCTGAGATGCATACTTAGAACCAAACCATCAGACAAATCTGATAATCTCGAAGAATCTCGGTATTTGACCACGACACAATAAAATTTTACCTTTATACTCCACGTGACATAAAGAACTTTAGTGTGATAAAACTTTGCTCTTAAAAAAAAAATTTCTCCAGCAGAATAGATACATTTGCATTTTCTGTATTTAATACTGTTCGCCTGACACATCGAAATTAAATGAAATCGGGAATTGTTTTTGTAATGAATAACACCTGTTTGTCAAGTAAAAAAAAAAGAGAAGAGAGAATAAATACATGGGCGGGTCTCCAGCGTTCCGCCATTCCAATAGTTCACCAAGAATTGTCTCATTTTTAAATCTATTTCTGTGCTTTCTTTTTTGTCAGAGAGGTAGATATAGAAAAGAAATTAAGTTTCTTACATAGGAACGTAGTAAGAAAAACTACTGTTCATACAGTGTACATCATAGGAAAAAAGACCACAAAGTAAGACAGTAGAAGTGACAATGTAAATATCGGTATCATTTACAGAATTTTAGATTTCAAAGACATTAGCACTTGCACTGGCATTAGGCACTATGCAAAGTACACAGTGTCTTTAAAACCTTAAAACACATCAAACTACTGTACATGTATGTCAAACTATAGTTGACATAAAAGAGGAATGTCAGGTAGCATCTTGGTATTCCTTTTACATGACCAAGCACACAAATCTTCAATGTGTAATAGACAACTTTACACTTCTTGCATATTTCGCAGCATAAACCCCAATCACATAGATCAACTTTTATCAAATTTCCAAAGGGGGCTCCGTCACAACATTTGGGAAAATATCTAAACAGCTTACAATTTTTGAGACTTTTAAAGAATACTCAACGCTCGAGCCGTACTAGTCTTCATTGTGCTCACCATGTCAACAAAGAAACAAAACTATGTTAGACCACTGCATGAAGTAACAGGAGTAGAGTCACTCAACCAGCTGTTTTGTGTATTATTTATCAGCAGGTAGTCATTGTCGCAACTCTCATTAAGTCACTATTTTGTAGGTATAGCCAACAATGTAGTGGAAACTGCACTTTGCATAAATGTTTTCATTAATGAACATTGGCGTC